AATTTCAAAAAATTGGCCCCGGAATTCAACCCGGGAAATTTTCTTTTAAAAATGTTCCTGAAATGTATATTTTTGTTTAAATTCTTGCTAAGGGGCATCCAGTCAGTACTCTCAGTAACCAGTGAATTCAACGGTCACTTGTTATCTGTCAGCGCATCTTATAAAGCCGTTCATGTGAGATTTAATTGTGTAACACAAAGAGTCAAAGCAGCTGTCAAGACCACTGACAAGACAATGCTTTATTCTTTTATTTGTGAGCATTGCAAGCAGTACAGAGGTTTCTTGCTTTATTATAATTTTGGTAAGCGAACCCGTTGTTTATGTTAACTCCCCTTAGGCTTATACCATTAACCAGGATTGAAACAAAGGCCATTAGCCATTAAAAACATTGGACATTTTCCTCGGTTATGCCGACGCTACGAACTTATGAGAGCTGCAGATTTTTAACTTTATTTCTAAAACAATTTTTTCCGTTCACTCTTTTGTAAAAAGGCAATAGTGAAAGGTTACGAATGGACGTTTTTGCAGAAAAACGTGGATTTTGGAGATAGCGGTAGGCGGGTCTGAATATGTTGTCATCTGTCCTTCCGTCCGTTACCATGCCAACCAGCGCGCAGTACGCAGCGCGCGAGGATTGCTTGCGGAGATGTGATGTATAGATAGCCTGTGGTCAATGAATGCGCGGCGCGACTGTGTGAGTGTGTTTCAATGTATATAACGGTGTAATGTATAGTATTAGGTTATAAGCGGGCCAAGCTCAATTTGTACGTGGCATGTGTTATACTTATAGTATAGTGCACTGATGTGTATCAATATTATTATTATGAAGTGAGCTGATTGGAGCTTATATTTATAATTATAGTGAACGGAAATCTAGCGTCCGCCAAAACGAGACAAAGGGCGCAATTCTTGTTATATTTGTGCTAGGTAAAGCGCAGTAAATTCTTGCAATGTGCGTTTTGATTTATTCCAACTCGTTTCTAGCTTTACTCTCTCTCTGTTCTGGTCAACGGTTTCTGGCCTCTTACGTTAAGATGGAGGCCTTCTCACCGTGCCCACAGAATGCAACTCCTGCTAGCTGCACGCCAGGACTCCCAAAGTATATACGAAATCATAAAATAATAAATATCAATGCAACAGACCCCTGGAGTCTTGAAGCTGTCACTACCTGTCTCAGAGCAAACCCACTTCCGTTGTAGTTCTTCTGCGGGTAGACAAGGGACTTCCGAGCAAGGTCAAAGCCTGGGAGATAGCTCTACTCATACAGCAGATCAATCAGTGACCTCTGCACTGCTCACACAACATATCAACCAGTGACTGCTGCTCGCAGTTAGTCATACTGTAAGCACTTTCTTATTGTGTCCACATGGCTTTTAATATTATGATTGATAAAAACCCATAATCAAGGATTAATCTCACTTTTATGGAAATTTCCAGCAGCCTTAAATTTTTTCTTCTTATTATCCGGTTCTGATCCAGCAAAATGCGGCAATCGGTTTTAAGGGAAAATATCTGAAGGAGCTAGTACGGGATAGTGGAAAAGAAGCAGCTCACCGTTCCAGATGGATCTCCTTGTTGTCAAGGAAGAAGGAGTGGGAGATCAGGAAGGACCAAAGGTTGGAGCTCAACTCTCTAAACTGAGGCATTCCGCATCTTGGGTGAATATGCGTACGTCAACATACTAAACCCGAGTGAGGCAAACCCTGGCAAACCCTGGTGTGGCCTAAACGGCACAGTCAGGTTTGTTGTCAACTCGCTGACTGTAAACCAAGGGAGAAGGTATATCCGTATTTCGCTGCTAGTGATGTAGTCCTTGGTCTGACAATCGACGCTTCTATGGTTTTTGACCAACTATATATGTACCATTGGGCTTGTGAAGCCGAACGGTTCAAGAAAGAAAGGGAGGGAGAAAGATAAAGGGAGATGTTAGGGTGGTTAAGGCCAGTAGGTTGAGTGTTTGGTATAGGGAGATGTTAGGGTGGTTAGGGTCAGTAGGTTGAGTGTTTGGTAAGGGAGAGAGAAAGATAAAGGGAGATGTTAGGGTGGTTTAGGCCAGTAGGGAAGGGGGGGGGGGGGGGGGGGGTTGGTAAGAGTCTTCTGGTTTTGGTGTACAGCATTTTAGCCACTCCGCAGTTTATTGACTGTGTCTCAACTATACTTCATACTTTCATAAAACAATGGGCAAAGAAGTGCTACAAGGAATTGGAGTGAAATAGAACAACAGCAATTAGGCAAATCTCGTGAGCAAGGCTCTCCCATCCCACACTACTAGTTCTACTATTTTCACTGTCTCACTTAATGTACCAGTTCGTTTGCTTTTTGTTTATCAGAGAGAAATCCAAATACTACTCCTACCTTAAGGGAAATAAAGTTGGTTCACGATAAATGTTGTTACAAAACTTTTGGTTACCATAATTTTAGTCATAAATTTCGCACATTTTCAGTCTACATCGATTTTAGTCACATTTTTTGACTTTTCGAGACCATTTTCCATTCCATTTATTTGATTTTTCCATTATTTAGCTAGTTACAAAAATGTAAACTATCTAAATAAACAAGATGCAGATACTGCCTGAATCCTGATGGGAAAAGGAAGTAAGAGAATGTGAAAGCATAAAAGCAGTGGATTAAACATGTAACAGCAGTTAAAGTAGTTCAGCAGTAGGAACGTCGATGTCATTATAATAATTATAAACAATGAAACCTAAATAATATTTATGTCATCTATTATGCTCTACTTAACATATTATCTAGATGATGCTGCGATGAAACTCGCCATATTACTGATCCTGTTGAAACTTGGTAAATCAGATATATCCTTTTCACCACAGATTACAAGCTCATACAATGCAGATGCTTTGTCCGAAGGTAATTATTACTTATATCATTACGCGTAAACATTAAAATGGACTATCAGGCACGTAGCCAGGATTTTTCTTTGGGGGGGGCTCGGCGAGCGGAGCGAGCCGACGCGTCCAACCCAGCTGCGCAGTGAGCGAAGCGAGCAAGCTGTAGCATGAATCTGGGGGCGTAGCTCCCAGCGCACAGGGGTACTATAGTGCAAAGAAACTGCTGCTAACTGCTGCTAACTGCTGCTAACTGTTGCTAACTGCTGCTAACTGCTGCAAATGGCGCGCGCGACAGCATGGCAGTTAGCAGCAGTCAGCCGAGCGTGCTTAATCACTTTACACAGAAGGACTATATTGCAAAGAAACTGCTGCTTACTGCTTTAAGCAGCAGTTAGCAGCATTGAGCAGCAGTGAGCAGCAGTGAGCAGCAGTGGGCAGCAGTGAGCAGCAGTGAGCAGCAGTTGCAGCAGTTTTTAGCAGTTTGCAGTAGTTGTTAGCAGCTGCACGTGGCGTGCGTTGCGCAGTAAAGACACACATAAAACTGCTGCTAACTGCTGCTAACTGCTGATAACTGCTGCTCACTGGTGCTCACTGGTGCTAACTGCTGCTAACTGCTGCCCACTGCTCACAGGAGGAGCAAAGTGCAAAGAAACTGCTACTAACTGCTACTAACTACTACTAACTGATACTATCTGCTACTAACTGCTACTAACTGCTGCTAACTGCTACTAACTGCTACTAACTGCTACTAATTTCTGCTAACTGCTACTAACTGCTACTAACTGCTACTAACTGCTACTAACTGCTGCAATCGCGCCCACGCATTGCACGCACCGTTTGCAGCAGTTAGTTATAGCAGTTAGTAGCAGTGAGCAGCAGTGGGCAGCAGTGAGCAGCAGTGAGCAGCAGTTAGCAGCAGTTAGCAGCAGTGAGCAGCAGTGAGCAGCAGTGAGCAGCAGTGATCAGCAGTGAGCACACCATTGAGCGCAGAATAGCCAAGAAAGGATATGTCCTAGGCGTCTTTCTGGATATAGAGGGCGCTTTCGGCAATGTCTCGTTCAAGGCTATCTCTGAAGCAGTCAAGGCCACGAAAGTGGACTTGGCTACAGCGCAATGGATCATCAACATGGTAACCAATCGATTCATCACACTAAATCGTAAGGATAAGTCGAAAAGGGTTCGGATCAGGCGGGGTTGCCCCCAACGAGGCATTCTCTCTCCTTTCCTCTGGAACCTGGTAGTCGATGATCTCCTTGCCTTTACTGCAAAAGTCATACCGGGTTACCTGCAAGCATTTGCGGATGATCTGTTGTCTCTAGCGGAAGGGAATGATTTAGACATCATCTGGGACCTAACATGCAAAACTATTAAAACGATAGAGAAATGGTGCAAAACCAAAGAACTATCTATTAGCGCCCTTAAAACTCAGATAGTCATGTTTACCTGGAATAGTAAGTGGACTCTAAGACCTATAACAGTTGGCAACAACATTATAGGTCTGTCCAAGTCTGCTAAATTTCTAGGAGTGACCTTGGACAGCAAACTCAACTTCAATGAACATATCATCAACACCACCAAAAAAGCCACGGCATCCCTCATGCAATGTCGAAGAGCTGTCGGCCCCACATGGGGTATGAGCCCCAAAACATGCAAATGGATGTACATTGCTGTCATCCGTCCCATCCTATCCTACTGCTGTAGTATATGGATCAGGGCCACTCAAACGGACTACAACGCGAAGAAACTCAAACGTGTTCAGGCATTGGCACTCAGAATGATGTCTGGTGCTATGCCAAGCACACCTTTTATCGCATTGAATCACCTCACCGACACTTCTGACATCATACCCACCTAGAGCAACGAGAGACCTAACAACACCAACCATGATGCTGGGACGGCACTTCACCGTCACATCTCCTGAAGCCGATAACACTGAATATAGAAATTCACTTCAAAACACCATTGACAACATTACCAGTGAAACGATCACCTGCTACACTGACGGGTCACTCACAGACTCAGAATGCGGGGCTGGCTATATAATCACAACTGACAACAATAACACCACCCTTGAAGAAAGATCATTCAAGCTCCCTGATTATTGCACTGTTTACCAAACAGAGCTCACCGCCATCATTGAAGCTTGCAAATATCTCTCTACCTATACCAACACACATATCATCATATGGTCTGACAGTCTCTCATCTATACAAGCTATCTCTGCGCATTCAACGCGGAGTAGAACTACAAGAGACTGTTACGACTCTCTCAATGCACTCAGATCCAACAACACGCTAGAGATACGATGGATTGCAGCACACATTGGATTGTGGGGGAACGAAAAAGCAGATGAGCTGGCCAAGCTTGGTACAATCAGTGAATCCACTTTGAAGTGTCCAATTCCCTAATTGCACAATCCTACATCAAGCGTCAAATCGACAACAAAGTCAACAGACTGAATCAGGAAACTTGGTTAACTGACAGTCCCAGACACACCAAACTGACACTCGGCAACAAGCACGCCAAAATCATCAAAAACCTCAACACTACACTCAGCTAGCAACAACAGACAAAATTACAGAACTGCAGTTCACCTCATCACGGGTCACTGCGGCTTAAACAAACACCTTCACACCATTTGCAAATCAAACACCAGTGCTTGTCCTATGTGCGGCGACGGAGAGGAAACTGTCTCACACTTCCTTGGACAGTGTCCGCTGTTGCCAGGACTAATACCTCTCTGTCAATGACATATTCGACAACCAACACATCACCACGATTGCCAATTTCTCAAACCGCACCAAACGCAATTTTTTCCGGGTGGGCCGCCGCGAACCCCCTGCCCCCCCCCCCCCCCCCCCCCCCCCCCCCGGCTACGTGCCTGTCGACTATATCAGTTTAAAGATAGTAATTTTTGGTTAAGTAAATTAATGAAAACCTTAGATATTTTTAATAAGGGGGTGCACGATAAAAATATACTTCCTCAGATTTTCAAAATTTGTGTACCATTGTTTTTTGAGACTGTGAGAATTTTTACAGTACCAAATTTTGTTTATACCTTTTTGAAATGATCAGTGAGTTTCGTCTAGGTGCCATATTTGGTGGTGCGCGGCTTTTGGAGCAAAATAAGGTGTAAAAGTCGCTTAATTTGACAAAATTCGTTGATTTTTGTCGTATAGTTATGTCATATCTTCAGTTCCTGAGCATGACTCATGCTGGAAATTTGTCATAACCTTCCAATCATACTATAACTACCGAACCTAAATAGTCAGGAGAGATTAAATTGGCCTTGATTAAGAGGTCTAAAAAATGACAAAATAGGTATAAATTCTTTGATAACTCAAATTCTGAACATCGAAATTGCTCAAACTAATTTAGGTTCAGTAGAACATAAATGTTTAAGTTAGCTGACCAAATTTCAACAAAATTGTTATATGGGAAGTATTTTTAACTTTTTGATTGTTTCCGAAATAATGTGCTGGCCGAAATACGAGCTAAAAAGCCATTCAATTGGTTAGCGCGCGCGCATTTTACGGTCGATGGCGCGTGAAAATAGTATTTTCACATCGCTCATAAAACACTTTGCAGACAAGACGTGCAGTTTCCAAGAAGAAAGAGGATTCTTGAAACAGGTATGTCCGAGGAATGACAAGAGGTTCTATAAGTGTCACAACACAGAGGAGTATTATCAGAGTTACGACTTCAACTTGGGAATGTCATCTTTATGTTCAAATGATCCGCACTATTACCAGGCCTGTGGTGATGCCAGTGCCACTGTGTCTAAAATAATATTGAGATAAAAAAATCAAAAAGTAACATTCTTTGTGCAGGATTTTTGTGTAAAACAACAAGGTACAGCATCATGAATTCATTACAATTAAAATTTCGTCATATTATTTGTAATGGAAAACGTGACTGTGTTAATACAAGATTAGATGAGGAGGGATGCAGAAAAATAAAACTGATAACTATGCCGAGTGGGGAAAATATAGCGTCAAAGCTAATCTGTAATGATGTTTGTGATCAGTTTTACTGTGAGGACGAGGCTACCTGTAACGGATATAGTTACGGTATGTATTGTGACGATAAGTATACACCAGGAATAGTAAACTACATTGCACCAGGCTATATATGTGATGGATCTGAGAGATGTGATAACGGAGAGTCGAGGGCGAAGCTAACTGTACCGTTACTAATAAAACACAGTACACTTGTAAACATTACAGTACTGGATTTACAGTACCAGTACACAACTTTACAAGATGTACAGTGGTAGCCGATTACAACAGCTACTGCAGTGATTATGCTTCATATCACACAAACTGTTCAGATCCCGCCAGAGTAGGGATAAGATGTTTTGTTAACGGATACTTGTCCTCTGTATCAAAATATATGATATGCTTTGGTGAAAAGGCAATATGTGACGATAACTTTGAGAACCAGTGCATACAAACCTCTAGTCAGTGTACTGTTCACAGACACTTAATGTGTGATGGTCAACCAGACTGCAATGATAAAAGTGATGAAACTGGATCGTATCTGCATCACCATGACACTGGTAAAGTGTGAAAGACGTGTTGGTCAGAAAGGGGAACTCCCAATACCTCTAGCTTGGTTAAGAGATGGGTTTAAGGACTGTTTGAGTGTAATCGACGAAGATGACATTTGGCCTACTTGTGGGAGCACTAAATCATTAAGATATGTTATCAGCAATGACATCTCGTGTGAAAATGTGTACCTTTGTCCATGGGGTGACCCTGGATATGTGGAATTTAGTAAACTATGTGATGGAGTTGAAACATGTGGAAATGAAAATAAGGTCTGCTCTGAGTCCCGCAAACAACCGAAACTGTCCACAATTGTTTTAACAACTGACAAAAACCTGATAAAGCATTTATCATACTGCATAAAGGGGATAAAAAACACTAAAAACTTCAAAAATCATTGCTTCACCATCAGTACGTTTATATTTTTAAATGAAATCGTTTACGGAGGAACCAATACAACGGTTATAATGCCAAATGTTACTCAAAATTGTGACCACATGTTTGGAGAACAATATTTTTACACTAGTTGTGCAGGAAAGTGTATCAACTCTTCCTGTCCACTGAAAACTATTTCTAGATATGAGGCGTGTCCAGGACAACATCATAAAAGAATAGGGACGATAGCCAATAACAAATTCCTAACATTTGTCACAAAATCCTATGAAAATATTTATACGAATAGATATTTCGTCTGTGACAATAATATCATTTGCATTGATTATTCCCAAGTATGCAATCTCATCAATGATTGCGGGGGATGGTTCGGATGAGGACAGCTGCACAAATAACTTCAAATGTAACGGTAGCTACATACCAGTGACGAAGAAATGTGACGGATCATTTGACTGCCTGGATTTGACAGACGAATGCAATGACCAGTGCTCAAGACAACTTCTAGAAGGGAATGCTCTCAAATGGTCATCGTGGGTTTAGAGGATTTTTAGCCGTCATGGCAAATCTTATCATCCTGTCCAAAAATGCTGGAACTTCGAAGAACTGTAGAACTACCGTAGCTCTGTTTAATAAGTCCCTTATCATGATGATATCTTTTGGAGACCTTTTAGTTGGTATCTACTTATTCGTAATATCAATTTACGATGGTGTAATCTTCAAGGAAGAATATTGTACCCACAGATCGATGGGATTACCAGCATCCAATGTTCAACTATTGGAGTTCTAAGCACCATAGGATCGCAAGTCTCGCTTTTTGCTATGTGTGCATTGAGCCTCACCCGACTTTACGGAATACACAACTCCCTGAGAATTCCGGGAGAAGTGTCATTGGTAAAATCACTCCAAGTTGCAGGAGGTGTTTTAATGATGACGTTGGCGTCCATTGTCATTGCTGTAATCCCAATTACCTCCAAGTTTGAGGATTTTTTTGTTAACGGAGTGAAGTATGCAGAAGAGATTAAGGTATTTATTGGAACAATGAACAAGCAGACACTATTTGCCGTCTTTCAGGGATACTTTGGTAGAATGAAGGAAAGAACACTTAGCTGGCGTATGATCAACAAAATGATGTCCGAGATGTATTTTCATGATAATGGTTATCAAGACTACACAAAAACATTGAAAAGGTAGATTTCTTTGGAAACGATGGAGTTTGCCACTTCAAATATTTGTCAAAAAAAATGATCCACAGAGGCACTTGTATGGGGCAATTCTTGCCCTCAACTTTGTTTGCTTCTTTTTCATTACAGCCTCATACTTGATCATTGGCATCATATCTCGCGAATCTTCTAAACGTTTGACACAGTCAGGAGGGAACCAACAGATTTCACAACGCAATAGGAAAATGAACTTAAGAATCGCCATCATTATCACTACAGATTTCCTTTGCTGGGTACCTTTCATAGTGATCTGTGTACTACATTCCCTTGAAGTTCTAGATGCAACACCCTGGTATGGCCTGTTTTCAATGATTATTCTACCGATAAACTCAGTCATAAACCCACTTATCTATGATGACACTGTAACGAAGCTTATTAGCGCACCTGCTCAAAGACTCGGAACCCTAATCACTGGTTCAAGAATTTACCGAGAGTTAAGGCTAAGATTACAACGATCATCACCAGTAGAGACCATTGAGATGAATTGTGTGGCAGTACAAGACGGTGAAGTTCCAGGCACAGCAGTGATGACTGAAATACGAGACAAACAAATAAATGATTAGCTGAGACAAAGAAGGGAGCTTATGACGGCATTCTGGGAGACAAAGCAGGATAAAAACGATCAAGTTAGATGATTTGTCTTGTAACATCCGATATTATGGACTTGTAGAATATGCTGCACAAGCAGATGAGTGATGGAAGAAGAGAAGAAGCGACAAAGGAAATATGACATTTGATAAAATTATTAAGGGGAGTCACTTTAAGTTTAACAAAACTACCTTGTCAACGTGAAAATTAGCTTTGAAAATGTGGATGCCTCCGCCCCCCCCCCCCCCCCCCCCCCCCCCCCCCCCAACTTATTATACGATTTGAACGTGCTTATACTTTTTAAGTCTATGACCAGTCCTTTTAAGTTTTAGTCGAAAGAAGAGTACAGTTTGGAATGATCAATTCATTATACTATTATTTTACTGACAATAGGTTCAAGGAATTGGATTTCTTTTTGATTCTATAAAGTACATTTAAGTACATTAACTACATTAAGTACATCAAAGTACATTTAAGTACATTAAACGCTGATATTGCCATGATTTCGCTTCTATCACTTATCTTTACAAACTTATTTATAATAAGTAAAGTGATGATAATACTTTTAAATTATAAGAGGTGTAGGTAATATCTTATTCAAATTATCATACAAATTCCCCAAAATTTGTTTTATTACTAATTGTAAAATTATTGATCGCAAAGTTGATTTTTGAATAAGATATTACTAGACACTAGTATCGTTATTTTTTAATAAAACCAACAAAAAAATTACTTTTAAAAGAAGGGGAAAAAAGGAAAACAAAAAAAGAGAAAATCTTTTCGTCTGCATAACGGACAATTTATACATCTGGTATTGATTATGATGCTATGTTATTTTAGAATAATTGGAACATTTATTGAATTATTGAATTATACTGATATTTTAGTATTTAGTATTTGATTTTGAATAAGATATACTTGTTATAACCTCACCCCCCCCCCCCTCCCCCCCTCCCCCCCCCTCCCCCCCCCCTCCCCCCCCCCCTCTTTAATCATCAGCCTAATGCCGAAAAAACTGTTTACGGACTAAAACAAAAGATAACTGGCGAAATTTTTGTTTTAAAACAAGTTTTCCAAAAACTACTCGTAACCATAAATATTTACAACTGGGTTAACTTAAATTATTATCGAATGAAATGGCGAATTTACGTTGTCGAAATCGTATTACTTTATCGACCAAGGTTAACCGGGCCAGCTACACCGAACCAATGTGGACCCTTCTCCCTCCCTAAACTCCCTGATGTCAACTCTCGCTCCGTGTCAACTCTCCAATTCCAGCAACGCAGATGGACTCCTGGCGGGCGCCAGTTTGGAAGAAAGGGACGTGTAAGAACCCCCCCCCCCCCCCCCCCCCCCCCTCGTTTTTGCCTCTCAGTTAATAGCTGAGTACAGAGATTTGACACTTAAACTTCATACCTCATTCAAACCGTGGTGGACCTTACGGGACCTCCCCAGCAGCGAATGAAGGCTCATTAGAAGATAGCAGCGGCAAGACTTCCACCACCTTCGGGAGCGCGCCAATCACCCCGAGCAACTATTCATGTGGTGACCAATCACGGAGTCCCGAACCGGGTGTCATGACGGCGAAACCCCGCATCTAAGTGGACAAGGAGAGGATGTTAAAAATGAGCTGGCACGATCAATTATAGAACCGCTAATTTTAGACGGTAATTACCACAATTTGGGAGACCACCCGAGGATGGCGAACTTCCGGTCACCTCACTTCGACTTTTTCAACTCCGATTCCGGCCACTCGACCTCCGGTTCCTGCACTGACCCTCCCGAGTCCCTCCAGATCTCGTCTTCTTGGCGACTGATAGACGAGATCAGACTCATCTTCGGACTTGCAAAAGGATGCCGACTCATTGAGCTGTAGATGGCGAATGCAGATCAATCTAGAACGAGCACTTCAACTCTCACGCCCAACTTGTCCTAGCGCGGTTAACTCGGTCGATACTATTAGTCAGTGTAATAAGCGCCAAGCGCGAGCACAATAAAATAAATCCACCGTGTAGCAATTTTCGCTAAAAATGCTACACGGCGCTTGTTCGCCGCGCGTGCTTTTCAGTTCATCAAGACGAAACTTTTAGTACTAATATTTCTAAGATTTAAAGGAAAATTATTTTCAAAAATTTTTAATCTGACACAAGGGTCCCCCCTTGTGTGAAATTTTGAACAAATTTTTGTGCTTCAAATATTATAATTTTGGTACTAAAAGTTGCGTCTGACTAAGTTCATTACGATCCTGTATGAATTATTTCAAAATATTCAATATGTTAGAGTTATAGGCATTTTAAGCAATAGATTACCCATTTTCCGTCCTTTGTACACTCTTGCGATGCACAAAAGGCCATCATACAGCTCGAAGTTATCGTGCTACACGGTGAATTTTCATTATTCACACTTAGAGGCAACTTTTGGTACCACATTTATCAAAATCAGAAACAAAAAATTCTGGCCAGCTCATGGCGACTATTACAGATACTATATATTCTATTGAAACTGATAACATGATATTCATAACTATTTTACCTTGAATGACCAGACGTTCTGGGCGCTGCTGGTTTACTGTCTGTGGGGGGGCTGGGGGGGCTGGCTGCTGGTTGATTTCTGGTATAAGAGTAATCTGCTGGGGTCTGGTCTGGGTGTGGTTAGGGAGGTAGAGATCCTGGGCTGGGTCTGGGGGCTGGCTGGCGGGGGTGGTGAGTGGGGTGGTCTGGGGACTGGCTGGGTCTGTGGGCGCTGCTGGTGAGGGGGGCTGGTCTCATGGTTACTGAGGGGGGCTGTGACTGGGGGGGGGCTGGGGGGAGGATCTGTCTGGGCTGGGGCTGGGACGTTGACTGGGGGGCTGGGGTCCTGTTCTGCGGGGGGCTGGGGCTGTGGCTGGGGGGGGGGTTCTGGCGGGAGGCTGCTGGTCTGGGGGGCTGCCTGGGCTGCTGTGCCTGAGAGAGGCTGGTATAAAAGAGGGTGGGTGTGCTGGTTCTGTGGGGGCCTGGGCTGGGGGGGGATCTTTATGAGCGCTGGGGGGGGGGGGGGGCTGCTGGGCTGGGGGCTGCTGGCTGGAGGGTTCTGGGTGGGGGCTGGGGGCTGGGCTGGTTTCGGAGCTGGCTGGCTGGAAGGGGTGCTGCTGGGAGAGGGTTCTGGGTTTCGTCTGGCTGGGGGGGGGGCTGAATTCTGGAGTTGTTGTGGAATGGGGAGTTGTGGTTGCGTGGGTCTGGGCTGGCCGCTGCCTTCTGGGGCTGCGGGGGGGGGAGGGGTCTGTCTGGTGGCTGGGGGGGGGGTCTGGTGGTGGTTTAATTGCTGGTGCTGGGGTTCTGCGTCTGGGTTCCCCCTGGGTTCTGTGAGGTTCTGCTGCCTGGGGAGGGAGATGCTGCTGGGGGTTTCTGCTGCTGGGGGGGTCTGCTGGGGGGCTGGGTAGGTCTGGGGTGGGGGGTCTGGGTGCTGGCTGCTGTCTGGGGGGGCTGGCTGGGCTTTTGTTCTGGCTGCTGGGGGGGGGGGTTCTGCGGGGGTTGCTTGGGTCTGCTGGTTCTGACTGGTTTCTGGGCTGTCGTTTCTGGGGGCTGGGCTGGGGGGGGATGGCTGTCTTGGGGGGTCTGGGTCTCTGGGCAGCTGGGTGGGTGGGTCTGGGAGTGGCTTGGTTTCTGGGGTTCTGGGGCTGCTGGGCTGGGTTTGCTGGCTGGCTGGCTGGGGTCTGGGGGGTGCTGGGTCTTGGGGGGGGGGGGTTGTCTTCTGTCTGCGGGCTGGGGTGGTTCTGGGGGATGGGGCTGGGCTGTTCTTTTCTGCGGGGTGGGGGGCTGTGGGGGGTCTGGCTGGGGGGTTGCTGGTGGAGATATTTGTTTTTCTGGGTGGGGTTTCTGCTGTGATCTGTGTTCTGGGGGGCTGGTTTCTGTCTGTTCTGGTGGGCTGGGGGGGTTCTGGAGGGCAGGGGGGCTGGGTCGGGTCTTCTGGGGCTGGGGTTTCTGGGGGGGGGGGGTTCTGTGGCCTGTTCTGTATATGGGCGGGTTCTGCTGGAGTTTTGGGAGGAGATCTGTGTTCTGTTCTGGGGGGCTGTTTTCTGGGATCTGGCTGGGCGGAGGGGGGGGGGGGGGGGGTGGTTTTCTGGGTTTCTGTGGGGGTTCTGCAAATTCTGTGGCTGTCTGGCACTGGTCTGTAGGGGGAGTCTTGGGGAGGGGGGCTGCTGTCTGGGGGGGGGGCTGGCTGGGGGGGGGAAGGACTGGCTGGGGTGGGCTGGTCTGGGGGTGGTCTGCTGAGGGTGCTGGGGGGCTGGTGTGGGGACCTGGGTCTGGGGGGGCTGGGGGCTGTGCTGCTGTAGTTGATTTAGTTTGTTGGGCGGTGGCTGGCTGGGCTGGGGCTTGGGCTTGTGGATCTGGGTCTTCTGGGATGTATGGGTCGGCTGGGGCTGGGGGGGGGACTGGCACTGGCTGGGCTGTCTGGCTGGTGGGCTGGGGGGCTGCTGGGGACGGGGCTGGTAAATTTGTCTGCTGGGTCCTGGCTGCAGGGGGCTGTTCTGGGGTGACCTGGCTGTGGGGTGGGGGGGGGCTGGGGGCGTAGGTGTGCTGGGATGGGGGCTGGGGGGAGGTAGGCTGGCCTCTCTGGTGACTGGGGGGGGGGTGGGGGGGGACTGGGGGCTGGGGCTGGCTGGAGCTGTTCCCTGGCTGCTGGTGGTGGGGGGACTTGGGGTTCTGGGGGGGGGTGGGGCTGGGCTCCTGTTGAGGTGGGGTCGGGGGGGGGGGCTGGTCTGGGGGTGGGGAGTGTGGGCTACTGGGCTGTGTGGGCTGGGCTGTAGTCTGGGGGTGGGGGGCCTGGGGGCTGGTCTGGGGGCTGTGTGGGTGGATCTGGGGGCTGGGGGGTCTGGGGTCTTCGTGGGGTGGGAGGGGGGTCTGTTCTGGGGCTGGGGGCTGGGCTGGCTGGCTTCTTGGGGGACGGGAGGGGGGTTCTGCTGGGCTGGTCTGGGGGGGTGGGACTGGGGGTCTGGGGGTGGGGCTGCGGGGGAGAGCTGGGGGAGGTCTGGGCTGGAGTTGGTGGGGCTGGGGGGGGGTGCTGGGGTCTGCTGGGGGGAGTGGGCTGGCCCGGTCTTCTGCTGGGTGAGCTGGGCCTGGCTGTGGGGCTGGGGTAAAGTGGTATGGGTTCTGGGCTGCTGGCTGGGGGGTGGGGGGGGGGTGGCTGGGGCTGTCGTTTGGTTCTGTTGCTGGGGGGGCTCTGGCTTGGGGGCTGGGGAGGGCCTGGGGGTCTGCTGGGCTGTAGTGGGGTTCAGTCTGTGGTGCTGTGGGGAGGGGCTCTGGGGGGGGGGGCCTGGGCTGGGGGTTCTGGCTGGGCGGTTCTGGGGAAAGGGGCGAGGGTTTCTCGTCTTGAGGCTGGGGCTGTTCTGGGGGGGGGGTGCGGTTTCTGGGTTCTGCTGCTGCTGCTGGGTCCTGCTGTCTGGTGGGGGTTTTTGGCTGAGGGATGTTGTTGCTGCTGGGGGACCTGGGGCTGGGGTCTGGCTGGGAGGGGGGGGAGGGGGGCTGGGGGGTGCTGGGGGTCTGGTGGGGGGGCTTCTGGGCTGGGGGGGAGTTTCTGTGCGCTGAGTTCTGGGGGGGGAGGAGAGGTGGGGGGGCTGTCTTTCTGCGGGGTTCTGGGGGTCTGGGTTCTGGGGGCTGTCTGGGGCTGGGTGAATGCGTGGTCGGCTTTCTGGGGGGGGTGGGCTGTCTGCTGGGTTCTCTGGCTGGGGGTGGGGGGTCTGGGGGGGATAGATAGTGGAGGGGTGAGTTACTGGGGGTTCTGGGGAGGGGCTGAGGGTTCTGTTTCTGCTGGCCTGGATTGGCGCTGTGGGGGAAGAGCTGCTGCTGAGCTGGGGGCTGGGGGGGGGAGTGTCTGGGGGGGGGTTTCCTGTGGTTGTCTTGCTGGTCTGGCGGGGGGGGGGGGGGGCTGAGGGGGGGGAGGGGGGACGCGCTGGGGGGCACTTGGGTCTGGGGTCTGGGGCTGAGCCTGTGTGGGGGTGTCTGGGGGGCTGGCTGGGGGGGGGGGGGGGGGGGGGGTTCGGAATCGTAAAAGTACAGGTGGGGGGCTCTGGCTTCTGGGGCTGGGGGCTGAGGCGCTCTTCATGGGCTCTGCTGGGCTGCTGCTGTTTTTCTGGATGCTTCTCTTGGGTGGAGTCTGGTCTGGTCTGGGGGGGCTGCTGCTCTGCTGGGTTCTGGTTCTGGCTGGGGGTGGGTCTGCTGGCTTTCTCTGGAGGGGGGGGGCTGGTCTGCTGTCTGGGGGTCTGGCTGGGGGCTGGGGGGGGGTTGGTCTCTGGGCTGGTGGGGGCTGGGGCTGGTGGCCTGGCTGCTGGGTGCTGGGGTCTGCTGCTGCTGGGGGCCTCTGCTCTCTGGGGGGGGGCTGGGGGGCTGCTGGGTGGGGGGGGTGGGTCTCTTCGGCTGGCAGTCTGGGGGGGTCTGTGGGGCTGTCTGCTGAGCTGCTGGGGGCTGGGGTGGGGGGGCGGGTCTGGTTGCTGCTGGGTTTTCTGGGTTGGGGGGGGGGGGCCTGGTCTGGGGGTCTGGGGGAGCTGGGCTGGCTGGGGCTGTGGGGGGGGGGCTGTGGGTGGGCTGCTGGGGGGGGGCTGCTGGGTGTGGGGCTGGGGGGCCTGGGTGGCTGGCTTGAGGGGGGGGTTCTGGGGTCTGGGGGGCTTGGGGGGGCTGTCTGTCGGGGGGGCTGTTCTGGTTCTGGGGGGCTCCTGGGGTTCTGGGGGGTCTGGGTTCTGGCTGCTGGGGGGGGGCTGCGGGGGCTGCTGGGTCTGGGGGGGTGGGCTGGGGTGTGGGTCAGTTCTGGGCTGTTGTGATCTTGGCTCTGGGCTACTTCGTCTGGTCTGCTGGGAACTGGGGACTTGCGGCTGCTGGCCTGCCTGGTCTCTCGTTGTCTGGGCTGCTGTCTGGTGCCATAAAAGGGGGGCTGCTGGGAGGGCTCTGCTGCTGTGCTGGCTGCTGGGGGCTTCTGGTCTGGCCTGGGGGGGGGGCTGCTCAGGCTTGGGGGGCTGGGCTTGCTGTAGCGCGCACTCACATCCAGGGGTCTCTGGGGGGTGGGGGGGTGTTCAGCTGGGGTGGGTGGGGGCGGCTCTGGCTGCTCTGGGGGGGCTGGGCTGTGGGTGTCCTCATCTGGGTGGGGGTCCTGGGGGGTCTGGGTGCTGATGCTGCTGTGGGGGGTCTGTTCTGCTGGGCTCTGGGTGTGGCAGCTGGTGGGCGGCTGGGGTGGGGCTGGGGCTTCTGCTTCTGGCTGTCCCCTGGTTCTGGGGGCGGCTGGCTGGTGCTGGTGGCTCTCTGCTGTGCTGGGGGCTGGCTGGGCTCTTGGGGGCTCTGGGCTGGGGATTCATCAAGTACTCGCTGGGGCTCTGGGGTGGCTATCTGGCTGGCTGCTGCAGGTGGCAGGTCTGGTGCTGGGGGGGTGGTGGGTGGCTGCTGGCTGTTTCTCTGGTCTCTGTGGCTCTGGGGCTTCTCTGGGGTTCTGTTCTCTGGGCTGGTGGGGGGGGGGGGGCTGGGGGGGGGTTCTGCGGTGGCTGCTGGTGGCTCTTGTTCGTGTTCTTCTGGGGGTACTGGGCTGGGGGCTGGCTGGTCTCTGGAGGGTCCTGGGCTGGGGGCTGGTCTTGAGGTGGGCCTGGCTGCTCCTGGGGTGGCTGGCTGTTGCTGGGCTGTGGGGGGGCTTCTGACGTTGTGGCGGCTGGGGGCTCCGGCTCTGCTATGGGTCCTCTGCTGCTGTCTCTGCTGGGGGGCGGCTGCTTCTGGGGGGCTGGCTGACTGGGGCTCTGGGGCTGGGGGCTGTGGGCTGGCTGCTGCTGGCTGGTCCTGGGTTCTCTGGGTCTGCTTCTTCTGAGCTGCTTCTCTGGGGTGGGGGCTGTCTTGCTGTGCTGGGACTGGGCTGCTGTGGGCTGGCTGCTGGGGGTTCTGGGCTAGGGTGCTCTGGGGGTCCATGGCTGGCCTGCTGGCTGTGGTGGGGGTCTGGCTATGGCTGGGCTGGGCTGGTGCTGCTGTGAGCTGCTGCTTGGGCTGGGGGGGGGTCGGGTCTGGAGCTGGGGTGGGCGTGGCGGCTGGGGGGGTTGGGGGGCTGTCTTCCTGCTCTTTGCTTCTCTTCTGGTCTGGTCTTGGGGGTGCTTGGCTGGTGGGGCTGGGCTGCTCTGGGTGTGGCTGGGGCTGCTGGCACACACTGGGGCTCTGATGGGGGGTCTGCAGCCTTGGGGATCTGGGACTTGGCTCCTTTGGGGGCTGGTCCTGGTGGGGCTGGCACTGGTGTGGGCCTGGCTGGGCTTGCTGGGGGGGGGGCTGGCTTGTGGTCTGGGGGGGGGGGCTGGCTGCTGGGGGGCTGGCTGGGGTGTTCTGTGCTCTGGGGCTCTGGGCTGCTGCTGGGGCTTCTGGGGGCTGGGGTGCTGTGGGGGCTGGGGGGCTGGCTGGCTGGTGGCTGCTGCTGCCAGGCTGGGCACTGGGGGCTCTGCTCTGCTGGACTGGCTGTCGGGGGCTGCTGCTCTCTGGGGTGAGGCTGTGGGGCTGGTTCTGTGGTTCTGGGGTCTCTGGGGGTAAGTAAGTGGTGGGAGGGAGGGATCTTCGGGCTGGGGCTGGGGCTGGGGGCTGGGGTCTGTGTCTGGGGTGGGCTGGGGGCTTGGGACTGGGGTCTGCTCTTCTGGGGGGGGGCTGGGGGTGGGGCTGGGGGCTGTGAGTGGTTGGGGGTTCCTGGGCTGCTGGGGGGCTGCTCTTGCTGGCTGGGGGGCTGGCTCTGCTGCTGGCTGGCTATCTGCTGCTGCTGGGGGCTCTGGGCTGGGGACTGGCTCTCTCTGGCTGTTCTCTGCTGTTCTGGGCTGCTCCTGGGGTCTGGGCTGGGGGGGGGCTGGCTGTCTGTCTGGTTCTGCTGGGGTGGGGCTGTGCTGGACGGGTGGGCTGGCTGGCTGTGGTGCTGGCTGGGGGCAGCTGGCTGCTGGGGCTGGCTGGTGTTCTGCGCTGCTGGGGGCTGGGGGGCTGCCTTGCTGGGCTCTCGGGGGCTCTGGGACTGGGGATGGGCTCTCTGCTGGGGGGCTGCTGCGGCTGCTGGGCTGTGGGGCTGGCGTGCTGGGGGTTTCTGGGTCTGCTGTTCTGGGGGGGTTGCTGTCTGGGGGGCTGGCATGGGCTGGCTGGGGGGGGGGGGCAAATTCAGTCGGCCGAGCTGCTGGCTGGCTGGCTGGGCTGGGTGTTGCTGGGGGCCCTGTCTCTCCTCTGGGGGGGATGAGCAAGATCGGGTAGGGGCTGGGGTGGGGGCGTGGCTGCTGCTCTCTGGGGTCCTCGAACCGGGGGGGGGGGGGCTGGGCTCGCTTCTGGGGGCTGGAGGGGCTGTCTTCTGGGGGGCTCCGTGTTCTGCTCTCTCGGGGTGGCTTGGGGTCTGGCTGGGCTGGCTCTGGCTGGCTGGGCTGCTCGTGCTGGCTGCTGGGCTCTGCTGGTCTGCTGGCTTGGGGGGGGGCTGGGGTCTGGGGGAGGGTGCATCTGGGCGTCTGGGGGGTCTCTTGGGCTCTGGTGGGGGGGGGGGGCTGGCTGGCTGGACTGGGGGCTCTTGGGGGGGCTGGGGGCTGAGCTAGGGCTCTGTGGGCTGGGCTAGGGGGGGCTGGGGGGGGAGCTGGGGGGGGGGTCTGTTCTAAATCAACTGAGACCTCCCCGCTAGCGACCGCGACTAGACTGCAGAGGGGGGGCCTGCTCTGGCTGGTGGCTGGGGGAAGGTTGCTGTCTGGGCCTGGGCTCTGCTGTTCTGGTGGGGGGGGCTGGGCTGGGTTCTCTCTGCCTTTGGGCTGCTGTCTGGCTGTCTGCTGGCTGGGGGGTCTCCTGGGGGTCTGGGGGTTCTTTGCTGGCTGCTCCTGGGCTGGGCTTCTGGGTTCTGGGGCTTGGGGCTGGCTTTTCTGCTGTCTGGGCTGGGAGGGCGGGGGTCTGGGGGCTGGGGGGGGCTGCTCTGCTGGTGGGGGGCTCTGGGGCTTGGGTGCGGCTCGGGGGGGGGGGGTGGGGGGCTGGGCTTCTTTCTGCTGGGCTGCGGGTCTGGTTGGGCTGCTGGGGTTCTTGGTCTTGTCTGTTCTGGGCTCTGCGATCTGTCTGTTCTGGTGGGCTGGGGCTGCTGTCTGCTCTCTTCTGGTGGGACACTGGCTGCTGCTGGGGGGGCTGGCTGGGGGGGCTGGGGTTTCTGGGATGGGGGGTGCTGGGCTGGTTTCTGTTCTGCTGGGGGGGTCTCTGGTGGTTCGTGCTGGGGGGAGTCTGGGCTGGGGGGCGGGCGGGGGGGGGGGGCTGGGGGCTGCCTCTCTGCTTGGCTGGCTGGCTGCTGGGAAGTCTGCTTCTGGGGCTGGGCTGGCTGGCTGGGCTGGGGTGCTGGGGGGCTGCTTGTCGGCTGGCTCTCTCTGGGCTGGGTGCTGCGGTTCTGGTGGGGGGGCCTGGGCTGGGCCTCTGTTTCTGTTCATGAGTGCTTTCGTGGGGGCTGGGCTGGGGCTTGGTGGGGGGGGCTGCAGGTCTGGGGCTGGGGGGGGGGGGCTGGCTGGGGGGGGGGCTGCGCTGGCTGGCCTCTGCTTGTGCCTGGGCTGCTCTGGGGCTGTCTGGTCTGGGGGGGCTGGGGTCTGGGCTGGGGCTGGGGGGGGTGGGCCGCTGGGCTGCTGTCCTCTCTCTTCTCGCTGCTGGGGGGGCTGTGTCTGGGGGCTGGGGGGCTGGCTGCTGGCTGGCTGTCTTGGGGTGGCTCTGCTGGGGGTCTCTCGTGGGGGGCTGGCTGGGGCTGAGCTGTTCTGCTGGCTGTCTGGGGCTGGGCCTGCGTCTGGGCTGCTGGGGGCTCTGGCTGGGCTCTCTCTCTGCTGGGGATGGGGGGGCTGCTGGGCCTGGGCTGGGGGGTTCTGGGGCTCGCTTGACCGGGGGCTCTCTGCTGCTGGGCGTCTGGTGGGTTCTGGCTGGGGGCGGCTGGGTGGCGGCGGTCGGGTGGGAGGGTGGCTGCTGGGGGCTGGGGGCTGTTCTGATCTCTGCTGCAGGTTTGGGTGTCTGTGTGGGGCGTGGGGTGGATGGGGCTGTCTGCTCTCTTTCTGGGGGCTGTTCTGGGGTCTTCTGGCGCTGCTGGGGGGGGTTTCATCTGGCTGGGGGCTGCTGCTGCTGGTCTGGGGCTGGGCTGGGGCTGGTTGCTGCTGGGGGGGGGGCTGGAGGGGGGGTGGGGGGGTCTGGCTGGGGGGGGGGGGGGGGCGGGGCTGGGCTGCTGGGTGTCTGTTCCTGGTGGGTTCTCTGGGCTGGGCTCTCTGGCTGGGCTGGGCCTTCTGGCTGGGGGGGTGGGGTGGCTGTGCTGGGGGGGGTCTGGTCTGGCTGGGTCTGCTGGCTGGTGGCTGGCTCTGGCTGCGGCTTGGGCTGGCTGTGGGGCTGGGGCTAGGCATGGGCTGGGGGGCTGGTTTCTGCTCTCTGGCTGGGCTGGGGGGCTGCTGCTGGGGGGGGCTGGTCGGGGTTTTCTGGCTCTGCTGGTCTCTCTGGGGGCCCCTTGGCTGGGGCTGGGGGTCTGCTAGGCTGCTGGCTCTGGCTCTGGGGGCTGGGGCTTCTCTCTGGCTGCTGGGGGAGGGGTCGGGGGGCTGGGGGGGGGTGCCACAGCATAAGGACATTTCTCTGACGTTCCTGGCTGCTAGCTTGGGGGCTCTGGGTTCTTGGGCTCTCGTGGGGGGCTGCTGGGCTGTCTGGGTGGCTCTGCTGGGCTCTGCTGGCTCTGTGGGGGTGCTGGCTCTGGCTCTCTGTCTGGGGGGGGGGGGCGGGGGCTGCTGGGGTCGGGGCTGGGTGGGCTTTCGCTGGCTGGTGGTTCCTGCTGGTCTGTCTGGGGGGGGCTGCTCTGGGGGGTGGTTGCTGTGGGGCTGGGGTCTGCTGGGTGGGCTGGCTGGGCCTGCTTGGGCTGCCTGCTGGCTGGGCTGGGTCTGGGGGGGGGGGCTGGGCGGGGCTGGTCTGGCTCTGGGGGGGGGCTCTGGGGCTCTGGGCTCTGGGGGAGGTGGCTGGGTCTGGGCTGGATCTGCTCTGGGGGGGCGGGGGGGGCTGGGCTGGCTCTGGGGCTGCTGGCTGCTGTGTCTGGGGGGCTGGGGGCTGGCTCTGGGCTGGGGGTCCTGCTGGCTGGGGCTGGGGCGGGGCGGGCTGGGCGGCTCTCTGGTGGGCTGAATGGGGGGGGGGCTGCTCTGGGCTGTCTGCTGTGGGGCTGGGGGGAGGGCTGGGCTGGATGGCTGGGTGGGGGCTGCTGAGGTCTGCTGCTGGGGAGCTGGCTGCTCTGCTCTGCTGGGCTCTGGCTGGGGTTCTCTCTGGGGTCTGTGGGCTGGGGCATCTGCTGTCTGCCTGGCTGAGGGTCTGTCTGGGCTGGTGCTGCTGGGGGCTGGGCTGGGGGCTTTCTGGCTGGGGTGGCTTGGTCTGGGGGGCTGCTGTGCTGGGGGGGGGCGGCTCTTCGTGCTCTCTGGGCTCTGGCTCTGCTGCTGGGGGCTTGTGTGCTCGGCTTGCTTTCTGCTGGCTCTGGGGCTCTGTGGCTTGCTGGCTTGGCTCTGGCTGCTGCCTGGTCTCTTCCTGTGGGGGCTGGGGGGGGCTGGGCTCTGGGGGGTGGCTTGTCTGCTGGGCTGGGGGGGGCTGTCTGCTTGGGCCTGGACGATAGATGGGGGGCTGGGTCTGGTGTGCTGGGGGCTGGGTCTGGCTCTTGGGCTGGGGGGCGTGGGCTGGCTGGTGGGCTGGCTGGGGCTGGGGCTGGGGAGGGGGGGGTGGAGGCTGCTGGTGGTGCTGGGGGGAGGGGGAGGGCTGTGGCTCTCTGGCTGTTCTCTTGTTTTTCTGGGGGCTGCTGTCTGGGGGGGGGGGGCTGGGGGCTGTGCTGTGCTGCTGCTCTGGGGCTGCTGGCGTGGCCAATCACTTGATCTGGCTTGGTCTGCTGGGGGGGCTGCTGGGGGTGGTTCTGGGCTGCTGGACCTGCTCTCTCTGGCTGGGGGGGCTTGGGCTGCTGGGTCTGGGGTCTGGGCTGGGAGCTCTGGCTTGCTGTGGGGGGTTCTCTTGGGGGGGTCTGCTGGTACCTCTCTGCTCTCTGGTGCTCTGCTGGTGGCTGCTTCTGCTGTGCTGCTTCGTGCCTGGCTGTGCTCTGTGGCTGCTCTGCCTGCGCTGTCTCTGCTGTGGCTGCTCTGCTCCCTGCTCTGGTTTGCCTTCTTTTTTCTGTCTCTTGCCGCCCTATTGTCTTTTCTCTTTTGTTTCCTGTGCCCCTTGTGCTGTGTCCCTTGTTGACCCTGTGCCCTTTCCTTTCCTCTTGTGTGCTGTTTGCACTCTGTCTGCTTGCTGTCTCCCCCCTGCTTGCTCTCCTCCTTGTGTTCTTTGTTTTTCCATGTTCCTTCTTTTTCCTCTTCCTGCTGGTGTCCTGTGCTGCCTCCTTGCCCCCCTTTGCCCCCTTTTTTTTCCCTTCTGTGCTGTGTTTTGGCCTCCCCTGCTCTTCTCCTCTTGCCTGCTCTTGCCCTGTCTTTCCCCCTCTTGTGTTGTTGTCCCTGCTGCTGTGCCTTGCTTGTTGCTGATTCTTGTCTTTGCCCCTGGTGCCCTCTTGCTCCCCTTGCCCCTGCCTCCTCCCCCCTCCCTTGTATTTCATGCTGTTGTTGCTTTGTGGCTCTGTTCCCTGTCCCCCTGTGTGCTGCTTTTTTTTTCCTTGGCCTGCTTGTTTCCTGCTGTGTCTGCTGTCCTGGACTCTCTTGCGTGTGCTTTGCCTTTCCCCTGTTGCCCCTGCTTTTCCTGTTTCTGCTGCTGCTGGCTTCTTGTATGCCTTTTCCTCCCTGTGTCTGCCTTGTTTTTTTGTTCTCTGCTGCTTTGTTTGGCCCTGTGTTGTTTCCTGTGCTTACTGCTTGTGTTGTTCCTTTTGCCTGCTTGTTTGCTGTTCTTTGTTCTTCCTGCCTCCCCGCTACTGTGCTGTGTCTTCTGCTTGCTTCCCTTGTGTGCTGTTGCTTGCCCTCTTGTGGCTGTGCTTGCCCTGTGCTTTGCTTGTCTCTTTTTCTGCCTCTTTCCCTGCTCCCTCTTCTCCCCCGGTATTTGTGTTTTGCTTTTCTTGTTTTTCTTTGCTTCTTTGTGTGTTGTTTTTGCTTTTGTGTGTCTTTTTTTGCTGCTTTGTGCCCTCCTCCCTTGCCTTGCCCCCTCTCCCCTGTCTGTTGCCTTTTGTGTTTCAGTCCCCTGCTCCCCTCCACCTCTGCTGTGCTATTTCCCTGTCCCTGCTTGTTTGCCTTTGTCTGTTTTGTGATTTTTTTTCTTTGCTTGTCTGTATTATGCCTGCCCTGCCCCTCCCCTGGGTTTGTTTGTGTTGGTTGCTTCTTGTGTCTCTCTTGACCTTCCCTCTGTTTTGTTGTTCCTTTTGCTGGTTCTGCCTGCTTTTTCTGCTCTCTTTCCCTGCCCTGCTTCTCCTCTGGCTCTGTGTGCCCCTCCCTGTGTCTCTTTGTCTTAGTTTTTCTCTTGCCTGGGTCTGTTTGCTTGTGGCCTTCCTGATGTCCTTGACCTTCCTTCCCTGCCTTGTGCCCCTGCTTCCTCTGTTCTTTGCCCTGTGTCTTTGCTTCTGTGCCCTCTTCCTGTTCTCTCTGGTCCTGCTGGCATGTTGCTTGGTGTCCTCTCTCCTGTGTTGTTGCTCCTGCCTGCCCTGTCTTGCTTGTTTGTGCTGCTTCTGTTTGCATGCATGTGACCTCCTGCCCTGCCTTCTTCCCTGGTGCCTCCCCTCCCTGCTCTTCTCTTGCCCTTGTCGCCCCTGCTGCTTTCGTCTTTTTTCCTGCTTTTTTTGTTGCCTGCTTCACCCTGCTGCTCCTCCCTTTTTTGTCCCTGGCTCCTTTCTTGCTGTGTGGTGATGCTGCTCTTCTCCTGCCTGTGCTCCCTTTTTTCTCTCTTTGCCTGCGCCTCCTGCTGTGCCTCTTTTGTTCTTGCCCCTGCTCCTCTCTGCCTCTGTGTTGCTTCTCCTTTCCCCTGTGCCTGCCTGTGGGTCTGTTTCCTCTGTGGTCCTGCCTTGTGCCCTTGTGCCTGCCCCTGTTTCCTGCTTGTGTTGTTGCCTCTTTCTTCCTGTGTGTCCTTGCTGTTTTTGCTGCTTGTTGTTTGCTTTCTGCTGCCTGTGCCCCTGTCTTTCTCTTTTTTTTCTCTTGCTGCCCCTGTTGCTCTGTATCTGTGTCCCCTCTTCTGCCTCCTTCCTCCTGTTGTGTGCTCCTGTCTTTTTTTTTTTTTTTCCTCCTGTTCCCCCTTGTGTTCCCCTAGATTGGGCCCTGCCTTTGTCCCTGTTGCTGCTGTTTTGGGGGGGTTTTTTTTTTTTTTTTGGGTTTTGGTTGTTGGGGGGGGGGGTTTTCTGTGTGTGTGGGGTTTTTTTTTGGTTGGTCTTTGTTTTTCTTTGGGTGGGTTGGGTCTGTTCTGGGGGGTTGGTGGGTTTTGGGGTTTGTTTCTGGTTTGGGTTTGTTGGTTCTTTGGTGTGTTTGGTTGGCTGTTGTGGGACTTTTTGGGTGGGTGTGTTTCTGTGTTTGTTGGTTGGTTGCTGGTCTGGTCTTGTTGTGTTTGTTTCTGTCTGGGGTGGTGGTGTTTGTTCTTGGCTGTCTGTGGTCTGGGTCTGCTTGTGGTCTTGTGTGGTGCTGTTGTGCTTCTGGTCTGTTCTTGGTTTTGGGGTTGTTTGTTCTGTTCTGTGGGTTTGTCTGTTTGGGTGTGTGGTTTGTGGTTGGGGCGTCTTTGTTCTTTGTGCTGTGTTTGGTGTGCTGGGGTTCTGTTCTGGGGTTGGTGTGGTTTTGGGCTGGTTTTTGGGTGCTTTCTGTTGGTGGTTCTGTCTTGTTTCTGGTGTTCTGTTGGTGTCTCTGGGGTGTTTGGTGGTTGGTCTGCTTTGTTGTCTTGTTGGGTGTGTTCTGGGTGGTGTGGGTTGTGGGTGTCTGGGTGTGTCTGTGTGCTTGTCTTTGTTTTTGTGTCTGTCTGGTCTGTTGGTGGCTTGGGCTGGTGGTGGTGGGTTTCTGTGTGGGGTTTGGGTCTGTTGGTGTGGCTTGTTGGGTTGCTCTTGTTTGCTGCTGTGTGTGTGTCTGTTGTGGGCTGTTGGTTGTTCTGTGTGGTCTGGTTGTGTGGTCTTGGCTGGCTTTTTCTGTTGTTGTGTCTGTTCTGGGTGTGTGTGCTGTCCTGGTCTTGGGTGTCTGGGCTGACCTGGTCCTGGGTCTGCTGGTCCTGTGCTGTGTGTGGGGTCCTCTGCTGGGGGGGCTGGGGGGGGCTGGTGTGTCTGGTCCGTCTGGGTGGCTGGTGTCTTCTGGGTCTGGGTCCGGCTGTGTGGTGTTGGGCTGCTGTGTCTGCCTGGGGTGGGTGCTGGTCTGGCTGTGCTGTGGCGGGCCCCCCTGGGGACTGGGGGCGTGCCTGGTCACCTGCGGTCTGGTGCAGTCTGGCTGCCTGCCTGGGGGGGGGGGTGGTGTGGGGGTGGTGGGGTGGGTCTGCGTTCCTGGTGGGGTGTGGTGCTGCTGGCTGTGCTGGTCTGGTGTCTGGTGGGTGGCTGGCAGGGCGTCTGGCCTTGGGTCCCCTGGGTGTGTGGTGGTGTCCACTGCTGGGGTCCCTATTGGCTGACCCTGGGTGTCTGGGCCTGTCCTGTCCTGGAGGTGGGTGGAGTGCTGTCTGCTGTGTCTGCTGTAGGTGAGGGGGGGTATAGGGGGGCCTGTGCTGTGGTCTGCCATGGACTGGGGGCCTGTGGGCCCTCTGGGGGTGGCAGTGTGCTGCTTGTGGGGCACTGCTGGGCTGTGGCTGCTGTGGGTCTGGTGGCTGGCTGTCTGTGTGTCTGGGTCTGCATGGTGTCCTGCTGAGGCTGGGGTGGGGGCGGCTGTTGGCGCTGGTCTCTCTGGTCCTGGACTGCATATTGTCTGGTGGTGTCTGTGGGCCTGGGTGTCTGTGGCTGTGGCTGCTGTGGTGGGGGGTTCCCCCCCCCCCCCTGTCTGGGGGTCCTTGGGGGGTCTGGGGTGGTGTTCCTGGCCTGGTGGGGGTTTTGTGGGCTGAGGGGGTGGTTGGGGGTCTGACTGGGTGTGGGGTGGTCAGGCTGTTGGTCTGGGTCTGGGCAGGGGGTTCTGCTGGGGTGGGTGCTGGGGGGGTTGGCTGCTGTCTGGTCTGTGGGTGGGTGGCGTCTGTGGTGAGGTCTGACTGTGGGGGCCTGCTGGTCTGGTGGGTGCGTCTGAGTGGTGTGGCTGCTGTGAGAGCACCGTCTGGGGCTGGTTGGCTGGTCAGGGGGGGTGGGTGGTCTGTGGGTCGGTTCTGGTGTGTCTGGGGGGGTGGGTGGTCTGGCTGTCCTGTCTGGCTGCTGTGCCCCTGGGGTGTCTTGTGGTGGGTGTCTGGCTGGGGGCTGCTGGCTGTCTGGGGCCCTGCTAGGCTGTGGTGTGGCTGTGGGATCTGTGGGGTGGGACCGTCTTTGATGGGGCCTGGGCTGCGACAGTGTCCTTCTGCGTCTGCCTGTCCTGCTGGGCTGTGCTGTGTTGTGGGACTGCTTAGTCCCTGGTTGCCGCCTGGTGCCTGTGGGGTCTGTGGGGTCTGGCTGCGCGGTCTGGCTGGGGGGTCCTGGGGGGTCTGTGCAGTCTGTGGTGCTGGCAGTGTCCTGGGCTGTCTGGCTGCTGCTGTGTGGCTGGGCTGGGCCTGTCTGGGGAGTTGGCCCTGTGTACTGGGGTCCCGTGGCGTCTAGTGTGGCTGTGTCTGAGGGGTCTGACTGGGTGAGGGTCTGGTCCTGGGGTGGGTCTGCGTTGGAGCTGTGTTGGTCTGCTGTGCTGGGGTGGGGGGTTTCACCCCACCCCCAGGGTGTGGCCGTCTGTGAGCTGTCTGGTCCTGTAGGGCGCCTGGGGGTGTGGGGAACTGGTGTGGCTGGTGTCTGGAGCAGTCTGCTGGGGTGTAGGGTGGGTGAGTTGGGGGGGGGGGTGGTCTGGGGCCGCGTCCTGTCTGTCCTGTGTGGGCTGTGGGTGATTTGTGGGGGAGGGGGTGACTCTGGTGGTGGTCTGGCTGGGTGTGCCTGGGGGTCTGTCTGGGGCAGGCCCCCTGGCTGTGGGGGGGGTTGTTGGGCCGGCTGTCTGGCTGAGGCCGGGTGCTGTGCCTGGCTGTGTCTGACTGTGGGGGCCCTGTCTGGGTCTGCTGCTGGTGCTGGGTGTGGGCTGGTGGGTCTGTCTGCTGGGCAGGGTGGGGTGGGAGTCTGGGGGCCAGCCTGGGTCCTGTGGTCTGGGCTACCTGGGTCTGGACGTCTGCCGTCTGTTAGGTGGGTGTCTAGAGGGACTGTGGTCTGTGTCTGGTCTGCTGGATCTGTCAGAGAGCGGGTGTGTGGTCCTGTGCTGGGGTCCCCCAGTCCTGCCCTGGGCTGACTGTGGTGCGGTCTGTGCTGCTGTGCTGGTGTCTGTGCAGTGTTCCTGATTCCCCCCTGGTGGGGTCTGTGCTGTGGCGGGTTGGGGGGTCCCTGGGGCCCTGTCTGGTGCCATAGTGTGGTGGTGTGTGTGCGGTGGTCTGAGTTGGGGCCTGCCCTGCTGGGGTGACCAGTCCTGTGGTCTGCCCTGTCTGGGGGGGGGCTGGTTGGGGTGGCTGGGGGGGGCCGTCTGCTGTGCTGCTTTGTGTCTGTGGCTGCTGGTGGTGGGGGGGTGGTCTGACCCCCCCTGAGGGGGGCTGGTGAGTGGCTCTGGGCTGGGGGGGCAGTCTGTTGGTGTTCTGGACTGCCAGCTGTCCTGTTGTGGTCCCCCTGGGCTGTGTGGGGCCTGCAGGGGTGCAGGGTCTGTGTGCTGGTGTCCAGGGGGCTGTCCCTGGCCCTGGGCCTGGCTGGGTCCTGCTGGGGTCCTGTCTGCAGTCTGCAGTCTGCGGAACCTGTGCTGGACCTGGGGGGGGGTGTGACCGTCAGCGTCCCTGAATGGTGTCCTGGTCCTGGTCTAGGCTGGGCTGTTCTGGGGCCTGGTGGGGGTGGCTGGGCCAGATGTGTGGGCTGGGTGTGACCTGGTGGTACCCTGCCTGGCCTGGAGCCCAGCTGTTGTGGGCTGCCCTGTGGGTGGCTGCTGGCCCCCTGGGTGGCCTGTCTGTGGTCTGTGGCGGGGCGTCTGTGTCCTGGGTGGTGGACTTGGTGGCTGGTCTGGCCTGGTGGCGTCCTGGTGAGGTGCCTGCAGGTGTCTGGGCTGTCCCCTGTGTCTGCTGGGTCAGATGGCGTCGGTTCTGGTGGTTGTCTGGGGGTATGAATGCGGGTGGAGGTGCTGAGCCGTGTGGGGTGTGTGTGGGGTGTGGGGCAGTAGGGGTTGTCTGGAGTCTGTGGTCTGTCCCTGTCCCCCTGTATGTCTGTGTTGCCTGGGTCTGGGGGTCTGTGTGTGAAGAGGGACGTCTGGGGGGGGTGGGTGTGTGGTGGGGGGGGGTGCGTAGTGGCTGTCCCCCTTGGTGGGATCCTGTCTTGCAGGTGAGGGGGGGGCTTGTGTTGGGGCGTCTGGGTGGTGTGTGGGTGTGTGCCTGGGTAGGTGAGTGTGAAAGTGGGGTGTGTGTGTTCTGGTCTGAGGGGGCACCCCCACCCCCCCCCCCACCCCTGGGATGGGGACTTGGGGTCCCTGGAGGTCCTGGTGGGGTAGTCTGATGGTGTGTGCCTGTGGCTGATTGTGATGTGGGTGAGAGCTGCATGGGGTCCATGGTGGCCTGCTGGTGTGGTTTGGGTGGGTGTTGTGGGTGGGTTACAGTGAGTCTCGGGGCTCAGTTGTGCTGGGCACTGGTCTGGATCCGCCTGTGGTGTTACCAAGAGTTGGCTGTCCTGCTGGTGGGGGTTGTGTGGTCCTGGGTCTGGTCCTGTCTGGGGTGGGTCTGGGGGGGGTGCTGTCTGGCTGTAGGACTGGACTGTTGTCCTGTCTGTCTAGGGTGGGGTTGGTACTGGGAGGGAAGTCCCCCTGTAGTCCTTTCTGGGTCAGTGTGCTGTACCAGTTGGAGCACCTCCAGGCTAGTGTCCTGGCTGCATGTTCTGGCTGGGGGGAGGTGGTGGGCCTGGGCTGTGGTGGATCTGGAGGACGTGGTGTCTGTGGTGTGCTGGCTGGAGTACTGGTGGTGGGGCGTACAACTTGCTGTGCCAGTCGTTGGTGGGGTGTGGGGTGGAGGATCTGCCTGAGTGGTCATGTGGACTGTGGCTGTGGGGTCTGCCTGGTCTGGTGGTGGACGGCTGTGGTTTTGCATGGGGATGGTTTGGCGATTCTGGTGGGATAAGGAGTGCTGGGTCTGTGTGTGGTGTGTTGGCTGCCCTGGATTGGGGAGAACGACTGCTTGGGGTGGGGTCTGTGAATCCCTGTGTTGAAGTGGACTGGGTGTGTCTGTGGAGTCTGTGTGCTGGTGGGGCTGTCAGGGGCTGTGGTCTGTGGAGGGGTGCTGTGGAGGTAACCCTGGGTGGTCTGTCCTGGTGCCCTGCCCTGGGCTGAGGTCCTGGGGATGTGTACTTGCTGGGGGGTCCTGGGGAAGGTGTTGGTACCCCTTGTGTCCTGGGGGCCTGGCTGGTGTCTGGGAGTGTCTGACATGGGGGGGCAGGGTCCCCCTGTGTAGTGGTCCTGCTGGAGTCTGTGTGTGGCCTGTCCTGGTGGACTGCTGGTGGCTGGGTTGTCTGTGTCCAGGCCTGCTGGGGGGGAGGTGGTGCTGGTTGAGTGTCTGGTGGCTCTGTCCCCCCTGTGGTCTGGTGGTGGTGACTGTGTTGGGTCTGCTGTGGGGGTGGGTCTGAGTGTCTGGGTGGGGTCTTTGTGCCCTGTGGGGTGGTCTGGGGCCTGTAGTTGCGGTATGAGGACTGGCCCCTGGGGGGGTGTGAGCCCTGTCCCCTGGGCCTGGCTGGGCGTGGGGGTGGGACCTGTCGTGTGATGGTGGGTGGGTGTGGTCTCTGCCAGGCGTCTGTGTCTCTGAGGGAGTCTGCTGGGGGTGTGGGTGGTGGGGATGGCCTGTGTGTCCTGTAGGGCTGGTGGGTCAGGTCTGGGGGGGAGGGTCTGTTGTGCTGGGCATACCGTCCTGGTCTGGAGGTGGGCCTGGGCCGTCGGGTGGGGGTGACTGGGATGGGCCCTGGGTGGTGGGTGCTGGGTGTCCTGGTGGTCCTAGGTGTCTTTGTGGGGTGGCAGCTGTGGGGTTCCTATGGGGCTGGTCCTGTGTGTGGGCTGACTCCTGAGCAGGCTGGCCTGGGGCTGGCTGGCCCTGCTGCCCTGTGTGTGTGTTGGGTCCTGTACTGGCCCTGTGAGCTGTGCTGGGGTGTGTGGGGCTGTGGTGGGCTGGTCTGGGGCTGGCGTCTGCTGTCTGAGGTGGTGGGTCTGGTCTGCGTCTAGTCTGGGGCTGTGGCTGGTGTCTGTCCTGTGGTGGTGTCTGTGGTCTGAATCTGTGCTGGGGGTGGGGTGCGGAGGGCCCCCACCCCCCCTTTATGGGGTGGGTGGGGTTTGGGGCTGGAGTGTGGACCTCCTGGGGCTGGGTGGTGTGTGTGGGTGCCTGGCCTGCGACCTGTGGGTGGGGCTGGTGCTGGTGTGGTGTCTGGGTAGGTGCTAGATTGGTGCGGGTGCCGTCTGGTGTGTGTCCCTAGTGATGAGGGCAGGGATCTGTGAGGTCCCTGCCCTGGGTGGGTGGGAGAGTGGTCTGTCCTGTGGCTGTGGTGGCCTGGGGGGGGTGGGCTGGTGGTGTGGCCCTGGGGGGGTGATGGGGCTGGTGGTCTGTCTGTGGGGTCCTGGGCAGGGGTGGGCTGTGGGGGGGGTGAGTGTTGCTGGTGTGATCTGGTCTGTGGGTCTGTCTGGTGTGGTCGGGGAGGTGGGCGGGGGGGCCCTAGTGTGGATTTCTGGGGTCTGTGGTGTGTGGTCCCTGGCTGGGTGGCTGGTGGTGTTGGGTGGGTGGGTGTGCTGGGCCCCTGTGTGGTGTGGTTGTGGGGGGGGGTGGGGTTCCTGCTGGGTAATATGGGGGTGATTCTGGCAGAGAGTGTGGGGCTGTGTGAGCTGGTCCTGTGGATCCTGTGCCTATCCAGCCTGGTCTGTGGCTGGGGTGGGTGCTGTCTGGGTGGTCTGGGGGGGTCTGCCTGGGATGTCCTGGGTGTGCTGGGTCTGTGGTCTGCTGGCTGGGGCTGCTGTGGTGGGGGAAGCTGCTGGCCTGGTGTGTTTGGGGTGAGGGGTGGTTCGTCTAGGGGGGGGGTCTGTGGTGGTGTGGGCTGCGCCTGGGTGGTCTGCTGTCAGGTCTGGGGTGTGGGCTGGGTGGCTGGGTGAGTTGGCCTGATGGGGTTGTGTGTGTGCTGAAGGGAGGGTCTGTGGTCTGCCTGCTGTGTGAGGCTGGTCTGGTGTGTGGTTTGTGTCCTGGTGGTATTTCCTGGTCTGGGGTGTGTCTGCAGGTGTGAGGTGGGGCGTCTGGGTCCTGTCTGGTCTGGGGTGGGAGGCCTTGGGTCTGTGGGGGTGGAGCTGAGGGTCTGTGGCTGTGCTGCAGCCACCCCCCCACTGTGGGCCCGCCCTGGGGTGTCTGTCTGGTCTGGACTGGGGTGTGTGGTCCTTTTGATGGGTCCAATCAGTGGGGTGGCTGGGTCCTGCTGAATTGGTTGTTGTCCTGTGGCTGGGGGGTGTGAGTCACCAGCCTGGACTGTGTGTGGGGGGTCCAGAGGCAGAGCTGTGGCCGTCTGGCTGGATGGTGTCTGTGCTGTGTGTGGGTCTGTGGGCCTGTCATGCCTGGTCTGTGATGTGACTGGCACCGTCTGTGGTAGTAGTGTGGGTGCTGTCTGTGGGAGTGTGTGAGTGAGGGGGTTACGGTGTCTGCTGAGTGCTGACTGTGTTGGGGGGCTTGGGGGTGGGGTATAAGCCCTGGGGGGTGTGGAGTGATCTGGGAGGGTAGCTGGTGGGGTGGTGGTCTGGAGCCGACGGGTCTGTGTGGCGGGGGGCTGAGGGGGGCTGCTGGGGCTGAAGGTCTGCTGTGCCTGGGTGGAATGGGTGCCTGTGGAGTGTCTGGGGTGCGGGGGGGTCTGGGGTGGCTGCTGTGGTGTCTGGCCGTAGCTGTGTGTGACAGGTCTGGTGTTGTGGACTGTGGGGTGTCCGGTTCTGGTGGTGTGTGGTCCTGCTGGCCTGATGGTCTTGGCTGGGCCTGGGTTGGAAGGGGGTGTGGTTCTGTTCTGTCTAGCTGTCTGGTGGGCTGGACCTGCTAGGGTGGGGTAAGCTGTCTGGGGTTGGCTGTGGGTCTGACCTGCAGGCTGGGGAACACGTCTGTGGAAGGGGTTAAGGGGCTTGTTGGTTCCTGAGTGGCTGTCTGGGCTGTCTCTGGGCCTGAGTGGCTGGTGGGTGTGGGGGGGATCCCTGGCCTGCTGTGGGGGTCTGTGAGCTGGTCTGCGTGTTAGCGTCTGGGCCCAAGAGGCCTGGTGGTTGTGTTGAAGACTGTTCTGGGGTCCGGGCGTCTGGGGGGCAGTCCTGGCTGTGTGGGTCTGTGGGATCTGCCTGGTCTGGTGCCTGGTTAGCCTGGTCTGTGGTGCTGGGGGTGCTTGTGGTGAGTAGAAACCGTCTAGGCTGCGTGTGGTCTGGGTGGCCTGTTGCCTGGTGGTGGGGGGGTTCTGTCAGTGCCTGGTCCCTGGATGGTGGGTTGGGGGTGGGGGCTGAGTGTGTGTGCTGGGTCTGGATGTGGGTCTGCTGCTTGGTGGGGGGTGGCTGGTGGGGTTGTGTCACATGTTGGTGCTGCTTGGTGTCTGGCGTCTGTGGGAGAGTTTAGGCAATTTACCACCCCCCCCAATACCAGTTTTGACCAAGGGTGGATTAGGGAGTCATGTGGGAAGCTTGATTGGTATGTTGTACAGCTACATGGTAGGTTGATAGCCTCATGCTGGGGTGATGTGAGGACATGTAGGTTGGCTGGGGTTGTTCTTATGACAGGGCTTAGGACCTGTGTGGCTGAACCGTCTTGGGGTGGGGCTGGGTGCGTGTCAGAAGCTGGGGTCCTAGTGGCCCTGTGGGGGTTTTTGTGGGCTGTGGCTGTGTCCTGCTGGGTGCTGTGTGGGTGTCCCTGTGGCTGGTAGGCTGTCTGGGGTGCTTGCTGTCTGTGTGAGTCCTGTGAGGCTGTGGGTGCTGGGCAGTGCGGACTGAGGGGTTGCAGGGCTGCCCTGGGGGTATGGCGTATGGGTGTTTAGGCGTTTGAGCTCTCCCAATAGTATTAGAGGTTGGCCAGAGGAGCCAGCCATATGAGGCACCCTGGTGTGATAGGTGTGGGGTTGACAGGGTTGGAGCAGCTAGTCCAGTGACCTGGAGGGACATATCAAGGGTGAGTTATGAGACCTGTTTGGGGCTGTGCCAGACCGAGTGTTGGTGGGAGTGCAGCCTGGCCGGCTGTTCAGGGTATGTTGGCCTGGTGCCTGTGGTGGGCCAGTGTGGGTTGTTCAGGTCAGGGTGGAGTGGCAGGTGGGGGGGCTGTGCTGCCCAGTTGACTGATTGGTACCTGCAGGTGCTGTCAGGGTGTGGGCTGTCCAGGGCCTGGTCTGGTAGTTTGTCTGGTCTGGGCCTGGGGTGGGGTGGCTAGGGTGGCTGTGTGGTCCTGGTGGCTTGTGGAGGGTGGCCCAGGCCTGTGCTGGGGGGAGTGGGCTTGTCTGGGGTTTTGGCTGCCCTGCCCTGATTGTGGGGTGTGGGTGGGTATGTCACAGGGCTCCTGGTGCTGGGGTCTGGGAGGAGCCCTGGTGTTGGCTTGTCCTGGTGCTGTGGAGGGGTATGGCGGTGTGGTCCTGATAGTGGTGGTGGTGTTGGCACTGTGGGTCTAGTGCGGCGTCTGTCTGCTGGTGGTGTTACTGCTGGTGGGTGTGGTGCTGGAGAGCAGGCTGGAGTGTCAGTGTTTAGGATGTCTGTCCTGTGGTTACTTGTGCTGCTGGTAGCTGTGGATTGCCCTGACTGGTAGGGAGTCCTCCTGGTGTTGGGTGGTCCCAGGCTGTGGGTGCTGGAGTGTCCCGTGCTGCTCTGGGAGGGGTGGCTGGTGACCGTCCTTGCTGGGGGGTGGGTGACTGCTGTGGTGGCTGGGTCTGGGCTGGGGGGTGAGGTGACTGGACATGTGACTGGGGGGTGTGTGACTGTGTTGCTGTGTGGGGGGTGCTGTCCTGCCTGGGGTGCGTGGTGTGGGTGCTGGTGGTCCCTTGTCTGGGGCCCCTGGAGTCTGGTTGGTCGTCAGTGTGGGGGGGGCTGGGTGGTGTGTGGCTGACCTGGGGTGGGTTACCCCTGTGGGGGGTGAGGGGTGTGAGTGTTTGTGACTGTGTTTGGCTGTTGTGTCTGTGGGTTCTGGTGTCCTGCTGAGCTCTGGGGGTGGTCCTGGCTGGGGCTCTTGGGCCTGCAGTGTGTGGGGCAGGTGCTGGGTGTCTTGGGACCTGGCGTCTGGAGGGGTGGGTGTGCTGGAGGCATGTGTTCAGTGTCTGGCAGAGTGTGGGTGTTTGGGGGGGGTGCTGTGCTGTGCCCTGGGGTGAGCTGTGGGGTGGTCTGGGGCTGCAGAATGCAGCAACCGACTGGTGTTGGCTGTGGACCGTTCTGTACTGGGGGTAGGAAAAAAACAAAGCCGTCTGGGTCTGGTGTGCCCTGGGGTCAGCCCCAGGTGTGGATGTGGTGGTGATGTGGGTGGTGTGGCCTGGAGGAGGGTGGGGGGGAGTCTGGTGGTGGGGGGGGGGGGGGGTCTGTGGTCTGGTCTGGGCTGTGTGGGGGGGGGCTGGTGCTGGTTGGTGTGGGCCTCCTTGTGTGGGGGCCTGGGGTGTGCTGGCTGGAGTCTGCTGGCTGGGTGTGGGTGGGGCTCTTGTGGTGCCCTGGGTGTCAGGGGGTGTCTGTGGGTGGCTGGTGGTGGGTGCATGGTCCCCTGGCCTGGATTGTCGTCAGGGGTGGGTGCTTGGTCTGTGGTGTGGTGTGGCCCTGTTGTCGGTCCCCTGTGGTCCTGCCAGTTGCCCTGGCTGGGGTGGGCTGTGGTCTGGAGTGTGGGGGGTTGGGTTGTGGGGGAGCCTGGGCCCTCGTCTGTGTGGTTGCTTTGGGTCCTGGGGTGGGGCTGTTGGGTGCCCCTTACTGGGGGGATCTGCTGCCCCTGGGCCTGGTCTGGTTGGCTGTCTGTGGGGCCCTGAGCAATGTTGTGGGTCCGGGGTGGGGTCTGTGGCTGGGTGTGCCTGTGGTCCCTGGCTGTGTGGTCTCCACTGGTGTGTCCTGGGGCTGATTGTGTGACTGAGGGGCTGTGTCCCCTTGAGCTGGCTGTGGTGGGGTGTGGGTGTGTGGGTTTGATCCTGTGGGGTGGGTGCCTGAGTGGTTTGGTGCCATGGGAGCAGGCTGTGTGTTACCTGGAAAAAAAAAAACCGGTCTGTTGGGAGTGGGTGGCTGTGCTGGAGCGGTGCCTGGGGGGGAGTGTGTGTGCCCTGTTGCTGGTCAGTGAGGGGGTGGTCTGGCTGAGTGCCTGGGCCCTTGGTGCTTGTCTGTCTGCTGATGCCTGGTGGCATGGAGTGGCCCTGTGTGGTGGCCTGGGGGGGGGGGGGGTGGGGGGGGGTGGGGTCTCGGGGGGTGGGGTCTGCTGGGGGGAGGGGGGGGGGCGTCTGTGGTGGGGTGGTGGTGGTTGTGGCTGGGGGGTGCCAGGGCTGCTGCTTGGTGCTGTGTGCTTGGGTGGGGTGTGTCTGGGCTGTGGTCCTCTGGGGTGTGGCCTGGCTGGGAGGGTCCTGGTCTGTGTCTGGCTCCTGTGTGCCTGAGTCCTGGGGAGAGGTAGCGCTTGTGTGTGGGGTGTGGTGTGGGGGGGGTGTCCTGGGGGGGGCTTGGGGGTGTGGGGCTGGGGGGGTGTGGGGGGTTTTGGGTGGGGGGTGGTGAGGGTGGGGTGGTGGGGGGGTGGGGGGGCTGGGGGGGGAGGGGTGTGCTGTGGTGGTCTGGTGGGCTTGTGGGGTGTGTGTGGCTGGTGCTGTGTGGTGGTGGTTGGCTGGTGTTCTGGGGTGCTGTGGTGTGTGTGCGTGGGGCTTGGTGTGGTGTGTGTTGGTGGTGGCGTTTGTCTGTTGGCTGGTTGGTGGTGCTGTGGTGTGGGTGCGGGTGGTGGGTGTGTTGGGTTGGCTGCTGTGGTAGTTGCGGTGCTGTGGTGTGTGGTGCTGGGTGCTGTGTTGCTGGTTGTGGTGGCTGGTGGCTGTGTGTGTTTGTGTTTGGGTCTTTGTGTGTGGTGGCTGGGGTGTTTTGCTGTGGTGTGTTGCTTGTGTGCTGTGCTGTGGGTGGCTTGCTGGGTGGTGTGGCTGGTTGGCTGGTTGCTGGTGCGTGGTGTTGTCTGCTTGTGTGTGTGGCTGGTGTGGTTGCTGTGGGGGTGTTGGGTTGTGCTGGTGGGTGGCTGGTGCTGTGGGTGCTGTGAGGTGGTTGTGGTGGTGCTGCTGTGTTGTGTGGGTGTGGCTGGGGGTGGTGCTGGCTGTGGTGTGTGCTTGGTGTTTGTTGCTTTTGCTGCTGTTGTGGCTTGTGTGTGGCTGTTGGGTGTGGGCTGGTTTTTGGTGTCTGTGTGGTGCTTGGTGGGTGGGGGTGTGGTCTGTTTGGGGTGTGTGGTGTTCTGGGCTGGGTGCTGTGGTGGTGTGGGTGTGGCTGACTGGTGTGTGCGCTGTGGTTGGATGGTGCTGCTTGGTGGTGCTGTGGTGCTGGTGGTGGTGGTGTGGTGCTGTGCTGGGTTGTGTGTGGCTGGCTGCTGGTGGGTGGTCTGTGGGTGTCTGGGTTTGGTTGGTGCTGGGTGTGTGAGTTCTGTGTGTGTGGTGTGGTGTGGCTGGGGGCTGTGGTCTGCTGCTGGTGTTGGTGCTGTGGTGGGGCTGTGGGCTTTGTTCTTGGTATGTCTGCTGTGGTTGGGTCTGTGGTGGCTGGTGCTGTGTGCTGTTGTTGCTGTGGGTGTGTTGGGGCTTGCTGGCTGTGGGCTTGTGTTGGTGTCTTGGGGGTGTGGTGTGCTGTTGTTCTGTGGTGTGTGGCTGCTGGGGTGGTGGTGGTCTGGGTGGTTGTGGGTTTGGTGGTGGCTGGGTGTTCTGTGCTTCTGTGGGTGTGTGGTTGTGCTTTTTTGGTGTGTGGTGTGGCGTGTCGGTTGGTTTTTTTGGTTTGTTGGTTTTGGTTTTTTTGGGGTTTGGGTTTTGGGGGGGGTTTTTGGGGGTTTTTGGGGT